GAAAAAAATCACATTGAACTTCCTATGTGATCTGACATTGCATGCAGAAATATGAGCTTTACATCCAGAGATGAGGAAATGATTTGTTACCTTGTATCGTTTTCAAAAGCAGTTCACCGCTAGGTGAATGATCGTGAATGATGTGGCATTCAGAGTGCCCATATGCGCAGGTAAAGATTGCTGTTTCATGCCAAAGATCTTTTCATGTTTAACTTCAGACTTTTCCAATTGATTTTTTTCAAATAACTATCATGGTATTTACCACATTTACTTAGTAAATACCAAAATCCAATTCCAGAACTACTCAACAGACAATTGTAATTTCATGCCATTCTTGTTCATAAGTGGCAGAAACTTTTCCTATGCAGTTCAGGAGATTATCACACCTTCCCTGCCCTGTTTCAACAGGTCATGATAAATCTTTACTTTTTTCAAAAAAAAAATTCTAGTGTGCCTGCTTTTTCTCTTTCATTTCCCTTTCTGAACCTTTTCTTTTTTTTTCTGTTCTTCCTTCCTGTTTTTGCCTTTTCTTCATTGCCTTCTTCCCTCTTACTAGCAATTCTAAATGCCAGTCTATGATCCTTTATTTACTGTGTGCTCTGTGAAGAACATGAGCTTCCAAATATCATCAAAATTAAGAGACAGTATCTTAAAATGGAGGTCAGTCTATCAGTCCAAAGCCTGGGGCGGAACCACGGAAGCTGGGGGCGTCCAGCGTGACATGTCCCCAGCAGTCGGACTCCTCGTGTTTGCTCCTTCCCGTCAGACCAGCGGCAGTGACAGAGGGTGGGGACAAGAGGAGAGACAACCAGGGTCTAAACGCCTTTGTTTAAGCTGCATAGGAGATAGAACAAGGTAGTGCCTTGAAAAATGGGAGATAGCACTGTGAGGAATGGGCACATTAGTCATTTGTCACGCTTTAGGAAGGGTTCTGTGAATTCGCCATGGCACCTATTTAAAGATACAACACACCTGTATTGAAGAAAAGAGTTTTTAAACTCAGTGAACATATCAGCCACATAGATTTGCTGAGGTGTAACAATCTCAAAATTTTATACTGAGTTTAAATATATACATTTGTTTGCAAGGAAAATTAATTTTCAATAAGATCAAGAATATGTGCAGCTGCCCTAAAATGATGAAAAAATTCCATGACTTTAACAACACACTACAAATATAAAGTCATAGAAAGTTGTGTGTATTGAATGTACATGAAACATTTTTTCTTCTCTTAAAAGTATTTATAACTTTTATTTGTAAAATTAAGTATTTCTCATGGAGATAATTTTAAATTCTTTTTTATCCAGCTAGTTATTGTTTAGTAGATTTAAAAGACGTTTTTAATGGGGTCTCACAATTATTTCTATCCAATCAAAACAGTTATTGCTGTGTGGACAGTCATGTCTCACCAAGCCTGATACATAATCATCCCTGGTGGGTGAGTCCATGGCAGCATCTGGGCATTTTGACCTGTATAGTTGCAGATGATATAGATGCACGGTCCCAGTGGTACAAGCCCGATAACTAATGAAATCCTCTCATCATAATTCCAGATGGTAACAAGTCCATTTCTGGTTCAGTGGTCTTGCCTGGATGAAATACAGTATATGTGCATCTCTCTAAGGTCTGGAAACAGAGCATGGGGAGTTTAATTTTTGCTTCCTTGTGAAAGTGGCTTGCTTTGGATTTTAAGGTTATTGCTTATTCCAAGAATTGAAGGAAATTTCCCAGTGTCTCCATGTGTGACCACCTTTGATATGAAGAAATCAGTAAGAACAATGCACTGAGCTGTCGAAATTAATTTGAATTTAAGTAGAATTAGAATTACAGTACAAGGGAGACAAGTTTTTCATTTATAATTTCTTACATGAAATAAAAGATTAATATTTCTTCTTGTTGGGGTCACTGACCTGAAGAACGGAGCTTCCCTGAAGTCCTTAAAATTTTTTTTCAGATTTTCAAACTATCAGACCCCATTTACACTCTCATAAAGGATGTTTCTCAATTTTTTGAGAATATTATTACACCTCAACAAATGTAACTATGTGGCTGACATTTCATTCATTAAAAAAAAACGCTTTTCTTAAGTACATGTGTCATATCTTTAAGTACTTGCCATTGGGATTTCACTGAGCCCTTCCTTATGTGTAACAGATTCATCTGCTAATTTGTTGTGGTTGTTTTTCTGTATGTAGTTTAGTACAAACTTCATAATTTTAGAGGCAGGACTCATATTTTAGAAATCTATATAAAAATTAGACACGTCAGCACTTGCTCTTCTACTGCAGCAGAGTGAAATAGTATTTTTATGTCATTCTCATTTTCAGTTCAAAAGGTAAACTCCCCTAAAAAGCATCCTTTGAAAAAATCTGAATATAAGCTTAGATCTTGGGGGCAGCACAATACTGTAGATCAAGTGTGAACCTTTGTTGAGCTCTTACCCCAGCATTTCCCAGGTGGATGAACATGGGAATCTACCCTCGTGAGGAGCTGCAGAGATTGGCAATATGCCGAAGCAGCTGCCGCAGTGTGAACTCTCTCGCCCGCTGAGTGGAGCTTCCTCAGAGCGGGGTACCCCCTGGGAATGACGAGAGTGCATGGAGGAAGTGAGTGGCCCTTCCTCTGCCTCTCAGAGAGGTGCCTTCTGGGTACGCCACCGAGTGCCGCCTGTTGTCACACTCACACCTCCGTTCCAGTGCTGTGCGTAGGGAGGACAGAGGTTAGTTTTAGAAGTTCCAATAATGCAATGAATTGCACTTAAGCAGTTAGCAGATGTCAAAACCCACTTCCAAAAAAATATCTAGACATTAAATCTTATACAACTGCTTACCAAGCATTTTTTTCCTTGAGTCATTTAAACTGAATAGACAGCATTAAGTTTCTACACATAAAATTCTGTGTATAAATTTCCTAAGATTTGGATATATTAGCTGTTGGTGTAAGTTTTCAATGTTTTCTCATCTTTATCCTTTAGGTTTATCTGGATTGGTATCTTGGGACTCTTGGAGAGTTTATGAACATGGCTGAATCATATTTGCTAATATTCTAAATAATCGTTTAGCTTTATCTCCAGTCCATCTTAACTGGCACAATGAAATCCCATTTATTATAATGTAGTGAAATGAGAATTTTATGGTCCATAAAATTGTTTGCGAGTATCTCTGTGAGGCATTGTCTTTGTCCTCGCCACTCTTGCTTTTGATCAAAATTAGTCCATCTTCAGGGACAATGTCATGTTTTACTGGCATGTGTCACACTGGAATTTTTGATCTAGTGATCTTTTTTGGCTTACCCATGTATTCTGAGAAACTGATTGTCAACACATAGTTTAGATTTTTGTAAGCTGTTAACATGCATTTTATCAGCTATTTTTAATATTTTTTACATAGTTTTAGGGGGCTCAGTTGAAACTTAGGATGGATTTTTTTTCTAAATTAGCTAAAAAAAAGAATATATTTCAAATGTGTCGAAGCTAAAAATGACTGACCAGATTGGCAGAACAGATTAAACATATATATATATGTTTGCTTACATTTTTGATTGACACACATGTGATGAAAAATGATTTGAGTTGAATCTCAGCTGAATTTCACAGATGGTTACCATTTTATTTTATGCACAAGGGATTGTACTTCCCCATGAGGCGGAAAGATGTTTTTTATTTTTATTGCATTTTTTCCTTTTGTAGTCACCCATTAATTTTGTTCTGTTAGAGAACTTTTCATGAAACTGTAGCTGTTGCTAAACTAATCTTTTTCCTTTGTTTTACTATTAATATTACTATTGGTTTTTGCTGTTCTTAAGTGGGAAAATTACCTAGACCTTAGCTGGTACACAGAATGTACAATGCATGTATTTTCTGTCTAAAGGCTTCAGAGTTATCTTTACTAAAAAACAGGAGGATGGTCCAGAGAGAACTTCAAAAGATGATTTTTTTTCCCCCAGTACATGAAAAATCTTTCTTGATGAACTACATGTTAAAGTTATGCCGAGCATATAATTGGAACTGAGTAAACATTGTTTTTTTAAAGTCAGTAGTGAAAACACTCAGAATGTTTAAGGAATCAATTTTCTAATTAAATATTTTCAAAGAAAATAAGTTATTTTATATAGCAAAACATGATGACACTGGCATTTTGTATTATACTGAGTAGATACCATTTTTAAAAAGTTGCTATATGAAATTTGCAGTCTTACAAAACGTATCTTTACATAACTGTATAGAATTTTTTTTTCTTGTCAGGACTAATTATTTTTATGTATTTGTTAGTGGCTATATTTTTTTATGTATTTGCCAGTAGCTGTTTTCATTTCCTAGTAGCTTTGTCATATCAGCAAATAATCAATTCTCTGTCAACAAGCAAACCACTTACTTGGTTGCATTTATGTAGGTAAAATATTTGCTCCTAGATAAAAGTATTTTAGTGATGCCTTTTAAAAAATGAAACAAGCATTTCAGTTGTGTGACTGAAATGTTTTCTTCTTAACATATATGAGCATTTAAATGTTATTTCCAGTTTGTTTTATATGTGTTGGATAGAAACACTGCAGCTAACAAAAATATTTTAGCTGGTCGGAAGTTAAATATTTAGAAGATTCTTTCTGAGTAAAATATTTTAAAGCCATTCAAATACATTCTGAGGGATATTATACCAAGAGTCTGAATCCTCCAGTACACTGAATAACTTTTAGTCACATGGACACGCTAAGCAGACTATCTGATAAGATGATAAGTTCTGTATTGTTTCATTTGGCTATAAAATGAAAGCATCATGTGCTAAAATATTTATAATCATTAAATAATTAAGAGATGGGTTTAACTAAAAGATAATAGCAACTGTTGTCCCTGTGAAACTTTCTTGTACAGAATCACACATTTTCATAACAGTCAAAATCTGACATCTTGTTAGAGCATAAGGACAGGAGGATATCAATGTTTTCATAAAACCAGGTTTTGCTTATAGTGTAAGATGGTATGGACTGAACTTACCAGCTTGTAATACAACTTTCATTTTATTTTAGACATATTTTGCATGATACAAAAATATTGATCACAGTGAGCTTTACCAATTGTTATTGCTATAAAAATGAATGCAGAAACAATATTTTTAGTGGAAATAAATTATATAGTCATTATTTCTTTTTAAATCAGAAGAGAAACACCTCGATTGTATGGTCGTTGGCAGAAAACCAGTCTTTAAAAGAGGTCTTTGGCAGAGGAGCCCCAGTCCGTATCTGTAAAGTCACCCACGTGTTTCAGAAAGCACTGCCCCTTGTCTTTGTTACCGTGGTCCCACAAAGGCCTCTCTGCGCATAGACAGTTCTAAATAGTGGCAACAGTTCTCCGTGACAGAAAAATGACGAGCTGGAAAATAGTACAGTCTTAGTTCATATGCGGTCTTTTCCAGTATGAGGGGACACAGCGGCAAACTTCTTCACTGAATGAAAGCCCCTGCTCACAATGCTTCAGCCGGTTTGTACACGGTCTCCTGTAACAACTAGGAAAATGAAGAGGGATACACTTTGTTCAAGAACAAGGCTGTGCACATTTATTATACTGCAAATGCAAATACGTGATTTTCTAAATTTAAACCTAGAACAGAGCTACTCATTTTATCATAAAATTGCTCTTAGCTTTATATATTGTTGAAGTTTGTGCTTAGAATTACAAAATTTAGGAGCAATAGAAAAACCTTAAGTCTAGCTTGCTTTTATAGCAAATGGGAGAATGAGATGCTTATAAGCATTAGTTCTTTTGAAGTGCTGTCTGCTTTGGGGATAAAAGTAAAAAAAAGATTTGAAAAGTGAATGTTTAAGGTCTGCCAGTTTAGTATGTTTGCAGCACATGGCAGACTTCACAGCCTGGGACCTGTACGGAACCCACACTTGGCGGCGGTGAAGCCCGGCCGTTTGGCAGGGCTGTGGTCCTCAGTGAAGAGCCCACCCTCGCTCTTGTCTCTCTGCTGGGCTCCATGTGAAAAAAATGGGGTCTGGGGAAAGGGAGGAGGGGGACTGCTCACTGTGGGGCTCCCTCTCCTCCCACCCTGGACTTTAGTTTCTAGTAGTGGTGAACGGACAAAAGATGAAGCAGGCAATGGTGCCGGCAGCCCTGTCGCCCCCATGAATCGGAGCCCCCTTTGAGGGGTTTGGAGTATGAGTGCCTAATGTGTGAATGGGTGTCCAGGAGAAATGCAAGGTGACCTGGCGTGGAAATCAAAAGAGCACTACAGAGGGGCTCCAAATATAATTTTGGAACTCCATTTCTTGTCCTCTAGAAAAGAAAGCTCATCTAGTTAAAACATTAGTTTTTTACTTCTAAATGCAAATGCATTGTTATGACCACTGGTATTCCTGTACAAAGAAGATACAGTTCTCATTGATCAATGGAGTTGCTGATTAAGGCACTGAACCAAAGAATATGTATTTTGCCTCCCACACTTTGGGAATAAATATTAAGACAAAATGAGGAGTACATATTTTTTCAAAGTATTAACCTATCTTTTTTTGCTTTAATATATGCATAAAGCCTGGAATATGTACACTTAGAAAAATGAACATAGGCAGAGTTTCAGTAAATGGAAAGTCTACATGAAATGATATATACTATTAGATATAAATGATAGGAACTGTTACTACTAAGTTAATAATAAGAATTCTGTAGACAATTATGATGACTGGTTAGTCTTATATAAATATAAACATTTCAGGTTTTTGAGTATATACAAGGTTCATCCAGAGGTATTCAATTTAAAAATGGTTTAGTAATATTTAATACAGTTTAGTATCTATATATTATTTTGTATTTTCTTACAACGTAGCTAAAATATTAGTGCGGATGGATCATCAGAAATATAAAATAAAAGGGGAACATAAAACTCTAGAGAATCAAAAAGATGAACACCTTTAGTGAGAAAAAAATAATGATGAACATTAATGCAAATACAAAATTGTAAATAAATGAAATGTAAGTTTTAAGTCATGGGAATACTAGTCTTATTGAAAAGGCCTTATCACCATCCTTGCATAGCGGGCTGGAAAAGAGGAGCCCGTGAAGGTGAGGAAGAACAAATGTCTGACAACGACAAGGACAACCACGAGAGTACGGCCAAAAAACAGAGGAGCACTTAAAAAAGACAGAGGAAGGACCAGACCCACGGAGACCACCTTGTCCACTGGATTTGGCGACTAAGAGCCTGCTGATACCTTATGCGCACTTTTTCATGAGTTTATGGGCATTACCCAGATACAGGAGGTTGAATCAATGAGAGAGGAGAGGTGAACACAAATGCCAAACACCTAGCGTCGGAAAACGTGGAAGACAAGGACAGAGCGTGGTTGCCCAAGTATGCTCAGCATCACAGTACAATGCTAAGAAAACAGAAGAAATTGGGGAAATTTTATAAATTGAGGGAAAAGGAAGATAGAGTTGCAGATGCCAAGGACATGGAAGAGAGAAGGCAGAACTGGGACAATGCTGAACATATATGGGAAGAAATGTCAGAAGCTCAGATCTGTCTTAATTGTAGACCACCTCATTCTCAGATTAAAGAAGTTTAGGGATTACCACTGAAAGTGAGTCTAACGGCTTTGTTTTTTTTTCTTGGTGAACAAGGGGGCAAAATCAAGGTTTAAGGAATCAGTCTCGAATAATCTTTAACAACATACTAATTTACTTCTCTAATTCTATTAAATGCTTATTTTTTATTTCCAGATATAATCCTACAATAAATGGTACTACCCTATGCTATGTAAATTTAGCACAGAATTTTCTGCACTTAGAATTGGTGTCCTAATTTCATCCGATGGTATCATACTTTTTGGTGGGGGGCAGTTGTGCATTGCCTGGATGTATTTTGAAAATCCTTCACAGGCGACTTCTGTCTCCCAACTTGTGTTAAGCACCACAACCTTAGCCTCTGGGACTGGGATTTAGAGTGCATTCTGAGCTTAGATCTGATTTTGGGGCACCTCTCCTGCCTTTTGGGGGAGCACACACAGCCTCATGAAAGGTTCTTATCAGTTAAAAAAATATCAGAATTCTGTCTTCCAGAATTTACTAGTCTCCTAACAAGCAAAGGCTATTTTGGTTGAGAAAACTGCTTTTGGTTTAGAAACTATTTCCAGTAACAGAAATGAATACTATTTATGAAGATTTCTTACCTGCATGTTTGATGTTGAAACTTCTTTCCTTTTAGGAAGCATTTCTGTGAATTTTCTGTACATTCACAGACACATTTTCCGGGGTTCAGGGGTTGATTTCTTGGGCAGGTTCGTTTACATATGCACTGGCATGTGTTTTCATCAAATTCTCTGTTGGCCCCACATGACTTCGGGAAAAGTTTGTTTTTACAGACACACTGGCATGAGTTTCTGTCTAGTTCTTTGTGGGGTCCACAGCTGGAGGGCTGAAGTCCCCTTCTGCAGACACATTGACAGGTGTCTTCATCCAGCTCCTTGCTGGGTCCACAGATGTCAGGGAATCCATCTGCAGAGTCTAGACAAACACAGGCAGACATCTTTATGGCAACTTTATGGGTTCTGGGTGTGGTATGAAACTTAGAAGCATTTATAGTGTTTTTCTGTTTATGTTTTTCATTAAAGGGATGTGTATAAACAGGGACATGTCTTCCTTTACAAAGAAATGCCAAATAATACCAATGCAAAGTATGACCTGTTTTGTAGTCACTTATTTCAAAGTCAATGTGATATGAATATTGTACATGTGATTTTAATATTAAAATACTTGTTAATCAAATAGAGACACTTGGCATTTAGTCTTTAAAATGCCATTCTGCTTACCATCTCCAGCACTAGAAGAAAAAATAAGATCTTGCTGAGCCAGGCACCTGCAGATGTGATCATTCCATATGTAATCCGTGGGACAGGTCTTGTTTGCAGGCTGGCACCTTTGGAGAGACAGACAGGTTAAGCAATAATATAACGGGTAGAAGCGATCATCTTTTTTCTCCCCATGTAGTATAAAATCAGTATATGTGTGTAAAAAGCTTCAAAATGATGTAACGGTATATGAAATGTGACAGTTCCCTCTTAAACCACCCCACCCACATGTGCTGTCAAATTTTGAATCCCAGAGGTGAACACTGTTAGTGATACGGGTCTGACCTCACTCCAGACTTTTAGCTTTTTAAGGCAAATCCATCTACTTGTATAGTCACATAGTGTTTTAGTTTGTGCAAAAATGGGATAAACCTTTTATATTATTCTGAAATTTCCTTTTTCCACTAAACAGTATATTATGGACATGTGTATATGTCATTTCATCAAGTTCTCCATTCTTTTTAGTGGTTGTAGCGTAGTTCATAAAGTGGATGTACTATAATTTATTTTATTAAGCTATTGAAGTTCCTTCCAATTTTTGGCTTTTCAGACAATTCTACAGGAAACATCCTTGTACATGTACCTTCACTGACTTATTTCTGAAGCACAGACCCCATAACTGTAAAGGATCCAATAATACAAAATTCACACTCACACTCCACGGTCAAGGAATATGAGTTTTTGTTTTTCTTCCCTCCTTCCCTCCCTTTCTTCCTCATTCCGCTTCTCCCATCCTCGCATCTTCCTTATTTATCTTAGTAAAAATGATAAACATATGGGCTTCAGTCAGGTTCACCAATGTTCCTTTGATGTTCCAGTCATGTCCCACTGTTGTCTAATTAGGACCCTTCCTGTTGGCGTCTGTACAGCACGACCCCTTCATTTAGACTGTTTCTCTGCTTTCTGGAGTGAATTGATATCACAGGATCATCTTGTCCATTTCTCCTTCACACCAGAATCAGCCATTCCTTCCAGGACCCCTAATTCTTTTTGTTGGAAGATGGCATTTAAACGCTACCATTTGGAATTAGGTGTGTTCTATGCCATCAGAAAACATTACCTCTAGACCTTTTTAGGGGGAGAGCTAGATAATGTGGGTATACCCCACCAAATGTGTCCCTGGTTAATGTTTACTTGTTAGAAGGATTGGTAGCTTTTCATATCCTAACTTACACAATATACAGAAACCTCTCACTGTCTCATTTCCCAGCTGATGTTAATAATGTAAGGCCAGTATCTATTTACATCCTTCACACTCCATATAATATTGTAAACAACATTAGAAGTCTTCACAAGTGCACTGAGTGTAAACTGATAGGCCATGAGCTTTGGACATTGCTGAGAAAAATTCAGTCGTACTCAGTGTGGTGACACAATGTTACACCTTTTTTCAAAAATAGCCTGATTTCTCTTACAGCATCAGAGTAAGGAATTTTTTAAATTAAGGTATTATTGATGTACACTCTTACGAAGGTTTCACACAAAAAAACAATGTGGTTACTACATTCACCCATATTATCATGTCCCACCCATAACCATTGCAGTCACTGCCCATCAGTGTGGTAAGATGCCACAGAGTCACTATTCATAGCAAGGAATTTTTGAACAGAAGTATAAGCACATCTCCATTTTGTAACCATTTATTCCTTGACCTCCACTTCTGGGAATTTGTTAAAGCTTTACCATCTACAAGTCTCTACAGCAGCTCTAGGACTCAGAAAATTTCTATTCATTCCTTTCCCTAGACTGTCCCTGGTCTCTCACCCACACCATTATCTCTCAATGACTGCCTTCATCTCATGCCATTCTCCCTTCATAATTTTCTTCAAATGTCATGGTCATGTGTCCTTCAGCTTGGTGAAAATAGTCTATTATGGGACATTTCCTTGAATTTACTTCGATTTTTTAACAAGTTTTTGATTGTTGTGTATTATTTGCTATACCATATCATAAGCTAATAATTTTTCATACAGGTTTCAAATAGTCCATGTAACCACATACAAAACAATCCTGTATAAATACCATCATACCTGATTATCAAGGAATTTTGCATCCTATTATGATAGTGTTACTTTTCTACAGCATTACTGTCTTTTAAGTTATTTTTAGAAAATTGGTTATGTTTGGGGCTTACCTACAATATTTTGTGAAGTATTTGTGACGTTTCAAAGACTGTGAAGTTTCATTTTGATTTTGTCAAGTTCAACCAAATCACACTGATGATTATTTTTAATAAATGTCCACATTGTTATTCCAAATCCACCAGTTATTTTCTAAAAAATTTTACTAGACTTTTGTTTTTTTAATCAGTGTTAGGTTTACAGAAAAACTGACCAGAGAGTACCAAGAGTTCCCATATAGCCCTTTACCCACTCTCCTAGTTGGCTCGGTTATTAACATCTTGCATTAGTGTGGTGCATTGGTTACACCTGATGAGCCGATATTGGTATGTTATTAACTAAAATGCACAGCTTATATTAGGGTCTTTTTCTTGTATATTGTATGGATTTGGACAAATACTTAATGACATGCATCCATCATTATAGTATAATATGAATGTCTCACTGCCCCCAAAGTCCCCCATGCTCCCCCTCTGCAGCCCTACCTCCTTCCCTGGCACCAGCCAGTCATTTTGGTGTCACATCAATACTCTGATGCCCTCAACACATGTTCTTTTGTTGTCATTGTCTTGTTTTTGTTTTCCTCTCAATGAAATATGGCTGTGGTAAGATAATGAGACCAGTGGGTATTGTTGAGGGACAATTTTACTACATTTCTTGTTACTTACCTTTATTGATTCTTTGTTCTAATTCTGTTCATTTGAACTGCATATAGAAATAACCAATAAGCTGATACAGTAACTACTAGATTTCCATGGTTTCAACCTACCCTACTTCTGTCAACCTTGTGTATCCAAGCATATTAGAAAAAAAAGAGAAGAACACAGGCTTCTAGACTTATCCCGCCCTCATCCCATGCTGCAGTGCCCCAGTTCTGGTGGTCATCCGACTCAAAAATAAGCAGGCCTGTACTTGGCTAGCCAGTTGGTGACCACAGAGTGTGGCTCATGTTTTATGTCCAGGACCCAGACAGTGGCTAGGCTTTTGTATATGACAGGTTACTGCTTTACAACAATCACTTATATTTATACAAAAAGAAAAATTAGATTTGTAAGCCTAATTTTTTATATGAATGTAACTGTTTCATCAGCAATTAAATTATTGAGTCTGGAAATGTAGGTAAAACCATGGAATTTTCAATTATCAGTCCTAATTACTATCTACTTTTATATCCTAACAAACCCCAACTCTTGTCATTGTTTTTCCTGTCGGTAGCCTAACAGAACACAAGCAAACAGTAACATAAAAAGGTAGAAGCACAAATTAATGTGAAATCAATAAAAATACATACAAGGGAAGATAAGCATATGCATTTTATTTAGATATATTTCTGTTAAACATGTTCCTTTTTAAGGTAACGTATATATAGCCTTAAAATGAATATAATTCTGATTTGTATCCATAGTATTGAAGAAGTTAAACTTACTTAAGAACATTGATATGCAGTTTTTTTCCTTAACCTCTGTCTATCCAATATTAGCCACTATTGCAAAAATGTAAGCAATCAACAACTGTGCAGATAGTCAGGTGTATTCAAGGACCATGTGTGATGAACTCAAGATGAACACAATAATCAAGGACTTTTTGGAATAGAACTATTGAAACATTTTACCCAAAGCTCTGGGGCCCTGAGAAGGAAAAGATACAGTTACTAATTCAAAATTATAGTTCATAAAAGGGGTCTTTTTCTTGGCTTTTCAAAAACTGTTTTTGTTGAGGAATAATTTACATACAATAAAATGCTCCTATTTTAATTTCATTGCCTTTTTACAAATTTATGCACCCAGTAACTGCCACCACGATCAAAGGACAGAACATTTCCATCACTCCCAAAGGCTCCCTGTGCCCCTTCCCAGTCAGTGCCCACTGCCTGCATTTTCAGGCAGCTACTGAATTGCTCCCTTTCAATCTAGATTGTTTGTCTTTTCTAGAGGTTCATGTAAATTGAATTGCATAATATATTTTTCCATCTAGTTTCTTTCACTCAGCTTAATATTTCTGAGATGCATTCATGTTGTTTGTAGCCACAGTTCATTCTTTTCATATTGCTCAGTAAAGTGTCACTGTATGGGTACATTACAATCTGTTTATGCATTCACCTCTGTTGCATGTTTGTGGGGAGGGGTTATAATATAAATGGTGGGTAGCGCTATGATAAAGGGAAATATTTCAAAATAATACTTGGTTTTACAGTTATATATGGGTTTATAACTACATGTAAAGTTACATAGTTATCTACTTTAAAACTATATATACTTTATACACACACATGAATATTACATGTACACATTCTTATGTTTGTACTGGCTTGGAATATAAAATACATTTCTTATTGTAATTAATGGTAAAAACACTAAAAACAGAGAGACAAGGAGATGAATTAGACATGAACCTTAGGGATAATAGTAAATCTGCCTTTCATGTCTATCTCTTGGAAGCCAGACCCTGTACGGAACCCCACATAAGCATCCAGTGTTGTGCTCAATCCTCTTTACATCTTTACATGTCTATACTGCTGAAGCAGCTGAGGTCCAGGGATGTGAAATACCCAATCTTAGAGGGCCGAGTGGCAGCACACCTGGATTCAGGTCCAGAACTGCTTGCCCTGTGGTCCCGGCTCTTTTTGCTCTCATTTTTTGTCTTGTCTTGGCTTCCATGTTGTATACTTGTATGAATATGTCATGATGAAAATATGAGTAAAACATGCAAATGCTACAAGATACCTATGGATAACTGAGTTCCCTTACATCACGAGCATTAGTTGATCACTGCAGCGTATTGTTAGCCCCCACTTCTGGAGTGTGATTTCCCTCTCATCTGTAAATCAGGCTGATACTGTGACCAACTTAGCAGATGATCATTTTGAGGCTTAAAGGTGACAATGTATATAAAGGGCAGAAAGTACATTAAGGGCTCAATTACTTTCAAGTACTATTAGCTGGATATTACAGAGAAAATAAACCTACTTGAAATGTTCTCACACTCCAGTCTCACTGACCTAGCCCTGTAAACCCATGCAAAGACCAAGTCAATACAGTAATAGCTGTGGGCTTTCAAGAAGCAAAGGTAGCCAAGGTATTAAGGTAAGAAAATGCAAGAGAAAGACCTTTACCTGAACTCTGAGAAGTGGATAGGGCTTTGGAAAGACAGAAGAGAAAGGAAGTCTATTTTAATCAGGGCCAGAATAGAAACAAGATACAGAGCAGGAAATGAGCTTGGTGTTGAGGAAATCAGACTTTGTGAATAATCGGAAGCAAACAAGAGAGGAAGCTGACACCAGTACAGGGAGGTGAGAAATTTGTGGTCAGTTCTGCAAGTGATTGTAAGCCACTGACAGTTTCTGGGCAGGTGAATGAAGTGATGCCTTGTAAGTTTACTTGTGACCATATACAAGAGTTGAGAAAGAATCGAGACAAGAAAACTAGTACTGACACCATGAATTAAATCAGACGTGAATGCAGAGTGAACTGGATGGAAATTAAATACAAGTTTAGGTTACAGCATTTTATGTACCCTCTCTCCCAAAATATCAGAAACAGAAGTAATTAATGACAACTATGTGATTTCAAGGCCTCAAAGGGTACCAGAGAATATTGCTGTGGACAATGTATAAGTATGGGATTTAAAATGTCTTAATAAAGGGATTTGGTTTTGTACCTATTATATCTAATACAGTTATAAACAGCAATATAAAGTAGATTTTGTTATAATATTATAAGTCAGTCTTGAATTATAACTTTGGAAAGCACAGAGATAACTTTAGAAGCACAGAGATATGGCTGAAATATTCAGGATGTGTGAGTTGCCGAGGGAGGCAGGTGAGCACAGCCTTCAAGCTGCATGGAACACATAGAAACATCTGGTGGGAGTGTCTCCACACATATTAGCATGAATTTATTCACAGATGCCTGTGATCTTTTCATTCTCACATCAAGGAGAACAGAACTCTGTTAAATTTGGCTATCCTTGAGTTTTTCCTAAAGTGTCCCTGGAAAGAAAGATAAGACCTCCTATCTGACACGCTAATAAGTAAAGTGGCACAGAGAATCGATTAGGAAAACTGCTATTAGCATATCATATTTATTGTCAAGTTCCCTAAAATGCAAGGTTTAAAAATTTTTTTGGCAATATATATGTGTATTTGTATTTCTGCCCATCTGTTTATTTATATTATTGTTACAAATGTTGGAGTTATGCAAGTTTTATTCATATGCATATTCCACAAACCCTGGATACCCTGAAGAACAAAGACCTGCGTCCTCGTTCTGGGCTGAAAGTAACAGTTCCTAGGGCTTAGATGGCAGTGCGTAACCAGTCATTATAAACTATTGAGAGTCAACGCTTGGGGTTCTCTGCAGGTCCTTCTGTATGGAGGAATAAAGCATATGTGGCCATATACCAAACTAAAAATCTGGATGGGAAGAAAATTTGAATAACAAATGTTACTTTGAATGTTAAATTGAAGGTAAATTAAGAGAAAATATTATCAAGAAATTAGTATTTCAAAATTCAATCCTTGCTGAAATAAAAAATATCAGTAGATATAAAAAGAAAAAGTAATTGAGATTGAAGAAAGGCAACTGAATGCTGACAGATACAAAAATTATTTCTATGTACTTTCTGTTCTGGAGCATAAGTCTTATTAAGGCTTAAATATTTTTAGCTGTAACATCATTTTTAGTCTCCACAGCTGACTTCATGAATGTCATATCCATTTTAGGCTGTTACTGTTAGTGTGAATACGGGAAGGATATGTATTATATGCCACAGCAATATTTCTTTTAGATTGTGAACTACTTTGTCTATAAAATGGGCTTCCCTGTTCAGTTTAATTTTATTTTCATGGTGCACTATTAAATTTGTCTTCTCTTTTGATGCAAAGTATATTACAGCAAATTTCACAATTCTTTTAATGAACTATGTTTCCTTGAAAATTTGTATTAGATGTAGAATATGTAGAAAAAAACAGATTGAATTCATACTCACTGTGGTAGTGTTGCTGGCAGGGAACGTCTAATAATTGAATGAACTTGTCTGTAAACATCCAATTTAGACATGCATCGGCAGGAAGTGTGATTGGCAAAACTGATTGTTACTGGTTTGGGGCCTTGAGAGAGAGGCACTGTAATTTCAAACAACTACAAAGGAAGGGACAAAAAGAAGAAAAAATTATACAGATGCTAGAAAGCATTTTTATGGCAAATGTTGGAGTCCGAAAAAGAGTGGGGTTAACTCTGTATGATAGGCAGTGCTGCAGAGTATGTGCTGGCCATTGAGGTTTTTGTGATTACAATGTAAAAACTATTTTGTTTCTAATCAGTATCCTTTATCAGAATAATAATAGACCATATGCTTGTCTCATGTCACTATAATAAAGCATATTAGAACTTTGATAACCAACTAATGATTACAGAGCAGAGATGTACTTGATCGATGTGTTCCAGGGAAAATAACTATTTCGGAGTCTTAGATTATCCCAGGGGTTTAAAAAGTGGCCCAGCTATAAATACATTTTTGATATAAGAGCAAAGCTTATGGCCACACACAATGTAGGTATGTTTGGTTAAGTCCTATTTTATGTAAACTGAATTCATAGACATAAAATACTTAGATGTAAAATTGACTTCTATTCCGAATTACATTTCCACCTCAAAATAGCTTTACATTGGTCGAGATACCTTATGAATTTAATATGTTTGAAAGAAAAACACACACATTCATTACTTAATAAAGCTTTGCTTCTATTTTGACAAAGGCATTATGAAAATAATAAGCTTAAAATACGATATGATACGTGATTATGAGTTAGTCTCAAATTTAGCTTATAAAGTCTCATTCTGAATGCCTTATTTATGGAGAACTTCAGTTATTCTCTTCCTTCTCCAAAACAGTTTTAAATTAAAATATACAAATAAGTTAGTGATTAAGTAGACCCTAAGTGGATTTAAGTGCCTCAAGTTCTTGAAATCTAATTATCAGTAATAATGGTAGAAGTGAAATACTGGCCATTACCAGATTGATAAGATCACTTTGTAGTAATTTAACTGTAGTTGGACCTTGTGTTATTTGTGTCTTTTGGCAATCTGAGCAGTGCTGAAAAAGATAGATACTCTAGAGCCTTGTGATTCCGCCCCTTGGTATTATTTCATGCCAAAAGATGAAGATCATTAAAAATATTTAGGAAGTACAATTAGTTGCCAATTTCGCCTCTACTTACAGGGGGTTTTATTGAACTGAATTTTGAAGAATGAAATACAGACATATCTAAATTATAAAATGTACATTTTGTTCATTTGAAATGTATTCATTATATATTCATTTACAAATTCAGAAACTTTCTTAGCATAAGTGCCTTGGGAGGAAAGGGCGCAGGATCACACCCAGACAGGGCACTTTTATTAGCAACCCTTGTAAGTTGTGTGAACTAAGAAGTCATTTTACTTCTTTAAGCTGTATATTTCTTTAGAAATCAGTAAACTGAGGATAACATTTGATCCATTACTTCATGGCACTGTTATAAAAATTATAGAAGCTAACATACATAAATGTGATACATAAATTGAGTATGGATGTATTTATTAGTAGTTGCATATAGTACCAAACTTGCAGATTTTCTCTAGAATACTAACCATTCTAGATATAAAATGTCAACATATGGCTTCAGTGAATCCCAGTATTATGTTTTTAATCAGTTTCTTTTTTAAAGACATTTGTTTTTACAGTTTGGATGGAACCTTTTATTAGGTGAAATGTCATACTAGTAGAAATCCTTTGCACTATGTATGACTATTTTAAGAGGATTAATTCTGCAGTGTCTCTGTACACTACAGTTTTTCAACTTCTTATGACATCTTTGGGCCCTACATTAAGATCTAACATTATGGAAGAAATGTAAAATAGCTTAGAAAATACACAATTTATAATAAATAGCTTAATTTTTTATTTACATAATTTATGAATTATTTATTTAAACTAACAGTGAAAATGGCAGGAAGATGTACAGGTCAGCTCACAAAACTCTTTGAAGAATTTGTCTAATAGGCAGTTAGATATGTGTGTGTGTAGAGTTTAGAAGAGTCATTTAAAAATCACCAATATTAAAGTTACAATTGAAGTCTTGGACACTGATGAGGTTACGTGGTGAGATCATCCTTTATGACAAGATAAAGTGTCTAATAAAGACACTTGGGAGCAAATACACTTAAGCGGTGAAAAAAAGACTGATAGAGTAGTAAGTATGTCTGGGGAGAATCCTGGGTGTCTTGGAGATGGAGAACAGAGGGGTATTGTTAAACCAAGGGAAGCCAGAGAGAGGAGAGCTTTCAAAGGTGTGCGGGGTCACAGGGTCAGATGTCTCAGGGCAATCCTGTATGGTAAGGATGGAGTGGGGACAGCTGGGTACCCGTGGCCGGGTGGGAGCTGGAGGGCCGAGCTGCGGGGAGACGGGAGACTGGAGGAAGAAGGGTCAGGGGCTGAGGCCGCAGGACCATTTTAATCACTGTGGCTTTGGCATTGTCGCAGTGACAAGGCAGAGCAGAGCCTGGCAGGGAAGGAAAGGCTCTCTGAGATGCCAGCTCCTGCACAGGAGGTGCAGACGTGTTCCCACCCTCACCCCCTCAGCAGCCGCCCCGCTCTCAGTGGTGGCTGCTGTTCCAGATCCCCCTTGGCACGTTTCCCGAGGGGAAGAAGCACCGGGAGCTGCCCTGGGTGGGTGAAGCACGGGGAGCTGCCCTGGGTGGGTGATGCACCGGGAGCTGCCCTGGGTGGGTGATGCACCGGGAGCTGCCCTGGGTGGGTGATGTCCATCATCAGGATTTGCCATAAGTACCGGATGTATCTTTAGGAACAGCGGCTTTGCAAAATGTTCTAGGGACATGGAGAACAGCCCAATGCACATTAAGAAAGCATCTTCCTGGACAAATAAGCCCAGCTCTATACTTTTAAAGGGTGGAAGAGATTTGTGTTGGTGAATACACCAACCGAAGGAGTAAAGGGATAGGTGTAGAAAGGCATCAAAAGAAATCACTTCTTAGAAACTTTCTTCCTGTAAGTTTGAGTCTTTCATATGTCCCCCCTCCCCAAATAAATATATTTCAAATAACTGACAACTTCCCTCTTCTACTAGAGATAGAAGAATAACCAAAAACTTAGTCTTAGAAATAGACAGACATTAATTAGAGTTCTGTGCCTACAATTTATTCCTTCTATGACTTGGAAAAATCACCTAATTTTCCTTAGTCTCCATTTCTTCATCTATAACATAGATGGCAGTGTTGTTTGGGTGATGATGGTGATTCTTCAAAGTTGAGTTGAATCTTTGACACAAGAATTACAAAACTTTTTCTTTGTTCAAAATTTTTCCTTGTTTAGTTTTCAGTAATTTATTTATTGAGAACCTGTAAGATGCAGAATGCCTTTCTAGACTCTCAAGATAACAGTCACAGATCACTGGCTCTAGCCCTTACGCAACTTACAGTTAAACAAAATGAACAATGAGAGTGAATAAGAAAAAACTATGTATATATTATGTATACACACACATATATAATGATACTATGTTAGAATTTTTTAAATATCAAATAGTTTAACACAAATGCTATAGTGAGCAAGAACTTGCAGCTTAACTCTTACTGAAACCTGTGCTTGTCATAATACAAAGATTTGAACCAACATAGTTCATTTTCTCTCAAGAGTCAAGGTCTACCCAAACACATCAGTATTGAATACATAAGTAGTTTCTTTATATTTTAATAACAGAATCCTTGTACTATCATCAGCCTATTTTGTCCTTTATTGTACACACAGAAGGATTTAAGCTCATATAGTGAAAAATTTATGTACTATGTTCAGCATTAGCTAATTAATAATTCCATATATATGTGTGTACTTAGTCAATACTAATTGAAGATGGCAATTAAAATTTGGTATTTTGAACATGATAGTTCTAAAACAGTTTTATGCTATAAAGAGAATTGTTCTTGAACAATGTATCTAGGATCTAAATACTAATAAAATTCATTATGGAGACTGATGCTATACAGTATATGCCTATTAAAAGAGTTGCTGGTTTTGGAGAACATTAAAATGACTTATATAAAATTTATACTTAAACAAGGCTGGAAATTAAAAAAAAATTTAATTGTGTATTCTGTAAAACCGTAATAAAAAAGAGGAAATGACAAGCATTTCCAATGCCAATGGAGAGGTTCCCAGTTGTTATCTACTGGCATTCTTTGATAAGGATATTTAATAGTCATTTCTCACCAACAAGAATGGAGTTCAAAAAGCCACGTTGTGAAACAATAGGTTGTTTACACCAGTATAGCAACAGTTGTAAAGCAATAATTCTTATTTCTACTTACATTATAGGCTATTCAAGAATAAGGTGTAGAAAGTCCTTACTTAGAAGATCCTAGATTATAGGTCAGTACTAAATTTTAACGGGGTGTTTGTGTAGGTGCAAATATGAAACAAAATGATTTTTTTACAACATCTTTATGCCCCAAAATATAATCAGTTTCTCTTCAGAGCTTAATATCTCACTACCATACATAATTTAAATATTTCAACCTTGAGTCCATTCAATTAAGTATAGAAACAATCTGTGGCCTCTGGAAAGTGTGGTGAATAATTGTAAAATCAGATGGAAAAACCACACATTTAAAGAAATAATCCCTAAAAATGGGAAAAGGAAAAAATTGATGGTTTATTGTTGGCATATCAGCTGAGTATCTGCCAGCTATCAAGGGCCAATGGAAGTTAAACTGGGCCTGGGAAGAACACAGGAGAGCAGACCCTAACAGATTTACATCTTGTACTGAATTGGTTTTAATATACTTTTCTACATAAACTATCTATACAGAGCTACAATTAAAATAAAAATGCCAATTCAGGAGTTTTAGAAATACTGAATACAATTTTCCAACTCAGTCAGTACCTTGGGTTGGAAAAAAGTAGCATTTTAAATAGATGCATTAGTTTTTCTCTTAGGGCAAACATTATTCCTAAAGAAACTTCTGATAATTGGTATTGGTGTAGAGTTCTTTTTCCACATCTGGATAAAACCTGATTTCCATCAACTGTGCTTGTCAAACATTAATTAGCTAAAGATTCCAAACAAATCACATTCCATTTGTTG